TAGTCTAGTTTTGTTTCACGGATTCAATTACTGAACTCTAATCGCATAATGTCAGTTGTTCAAATCTCGCAAATTAAATGCGTCAAATTTGTGAAATCGTAAAAAATCAAACTAGACGCTCTTGGAGCGTGAAGTCGGACTAGCTATTTTTTAATGTATATCATGGCGTAGAATATTATATTTTTACTTCTAATACATAGTGAAAGCAAGAATGCGTGACCGTGTTTATTCACACGATACGATATTCTTTTTGACTGCTCTCTGCAATGACTTCAAAACGATAGAAATCTAAATTTTGACCTAAAAGGTCATGTAATTCATACCCGCTAGACTAGATGTCTCTAAGTGATATCATATCTAATACGTTTTTAATTCAAATTGTTGACCTTTCAGGGCAAGAAAATAAATACTTTTAAAAGAAGATCCCATGCCTATAAAATAATCAAAGTCGCCTTTTTGTTATTGATAAACAAAGTTTCTTCTTGTTTTAATTTGAAATATTTGTCCAAACAAGACCGTCTAGCGCTAGAATTCAGTTCCGTAAGCATACTATTCGAACCCCCATGCGATCCGCACATGCGCGTACCTCTGATGGATAGACTGATGCATTCCGATGAGATCACAGATACCACATTTGTAAACGAATAGTATTTTTATCACATAAAAGCGCAAGTAGAATCTGACATTTACTAACGATATATTTGTATTTGTATTTGAGTTTGCTGAAGAAGGCCGAAGTGCCGAAACGTACAATAAAAAGTAGAAAACCTAGTTACAAGTTGCGTGGCTTTTTCTTCATTTATTCTATTTTGATATATTTGTACATCTATACGTTTGAGCTTCCGGTCATGTAATAACACCATTTACTTAATTGCTCAAAATAGAGATAGTAACATTTTACAGTAGAGTGATCGCACTTAAACCGTGCAACTGTACAAACTAAATAGGTCTGTTTAGTTGTATTTAGTAAATCGTGCATGCGGTACGCAATAAATTGAATTGATATATATGAAGCATTCAATACAGTCTTGCTTCATGTCCACTTTTAGTACAAATTACAGTTGCACGGTTTAAGTACGATCACTCTACAATAATGCAGACATACTGAGTCGATAAAACTTAAATTAAAGAGTTTATTGGTTTCTAGGCCTTCAGTCATTAATTTGATAGAAATATCGTCGTCAAATTAGAAAAATGTTAACGTGTAGATACCAAAAAAATGTTCAAAGTATGATTAAACTTCTGTATACAGTTCTAGAAATTGTCTTGTGTTCTCATCATGACCCCTGAGTAGGTTAGGGATACCTTCTTCAGTACTAATAAAACATGCATTATTGCTACGGCACACAATTCCTGGTATCAATTAGCCTCAATTAAAATCTTCTACTTCCCTGTTTATCTTTTGAAAATACACCTTGAAGCCAAGTGCATGATGTTCTCGAAACTATCTCTTGGTAGATTGGTCTTTAACCATTTCATTGCTTTGTCTGCTGCAATGCCCCATTCATCTTGTTGGTCAGGAAAGGTTGCGGTGAGATAAGCTAACGCTACCGCTGTTGCCCACAGAATATCCTTGTTGTTTTGGTACAGCTCCGGTGGACATGACTTTCGGATCTCTGAAAGTGTTTTTCCACACACCGTTGCAAGCTTGTCAGTCGGTTGCCACGCCCCAGATGCCGTTTGTAGTGCGATCAAAGAGAGATACGTTTGCGTATTCCTGTAAGATGGACTGCTTTCTTTATCCATCATTTTAAGACCTAACAACTTGGAGGATGACTGCCGTGGAGGAACTCTAGGTGGTGAATAATTTGTTGATCCAGGAAGAAGTGGTGCCTTACCCATATTGCTAGAAGAGGAAGGGGCTCTTGGTGGACCACCTAGAAGATTACCACCCGTATTGCCATAAGAGAAGCGTTGTGCCATATTCATTGATTGTGGTTGAGTTGGACCACCAAAACCGACACCCCCAGGTACTGTTGGAAGACCCCCACCGATATTACCATAGAAACCAAACATTGTTCCTGAATTCATTGGCAGAACAGCCTGTGGTTGAAACGGTCTGGAGACAACCACACCGGTGTGTTTATCAACACCCACAAATGACGTTAATCGTGATATAATGTTGGCCGATTTACTGAGTTGGATGACGTGACCATCGTCGTCTTGTTCCAAGATACTTGCTTTGGCACACAGACGATGCAGAAGTAAGCTGCTCTCAGCTGGGTTACCGCACACTGCGCTGAACTTCAACACATGACGAATAAGAGACAAATGTTGACCGTCATCGATGTATCCGGTCAGTGTGACAGTTCCCTCGATGGCTGTTATTGAAGTGCGACTTGGCACGTCCTTTCTGGACAAAAGTCCAAACATCACAAGTTGGTTACCATGGAACACAGTTGGGTTCACGACAGGGACTGTTTCTGCGGTCCACGTCTTTGGAAGGTTCCACGTTAGACTAACATCCTTTACGGCTGGTTGGAAGGCGTTCTTTAAAGTTTTCATTACCTTCATAACAAAATAATAATAGGTATACAGATATTCGAATTATGGAAGCATTTATGTTACAGCATCTGTTGTGAGCTCAAATGCGATTAGACCGAAAATGTACTGTACGTAAAAAATACTGGCATCTAAATGTGTATTTGGCCAATTTTCACTTCAATTCACATTCAATATGTTGAGTGTACTCTTCGCTTTATGTTGTCTTTGTGTTGCCCGAACAAAGTTCCACAATTTTCATAATCTCAAATATCCGAAGTCAATCGTTATTTCGAACGAGCCCGCAATACTCTCTTGCTGAAACCTGAGCCTAACAAATACCGAGCGAAAGGCGCGCCAGCTTGTTACACACATTAATGTTGGACATTAATTGGGCCAGCAAAGTTGAGCGATTTTCGCCAGGCGCATTCTGAGGTATTATAGTCATAGAGAAATAAATAACATTTGAAATTTAATATAAAAGAATTTTTTTAAAAAGACAAAAGAAGATCTTCCTTTCTCCTGCATTTCTTTTTAATGTGGCTCAAATGTGACATTTCTGTTGTGTTCATAGAGAGTTCGCTGAAAAGGGGCTATTAATGGCCGAAACGTTCCATATTAAGTTATCAAGCTACAGCTCGCATGTGTTGAACAAATTATTCGACTTTTACAGACATATAATATAGCTATCACTGTACCTTGGTTTGTAACCTGTCACGAGCTGAGACAAACTCAGCAGTACCAAGTCCAGCACGAGCCACGCCCTTAACTAGATGACTTGACGCTCCTTCACCAATACCAAATGTAAAGCACCTGGAGAAAGGTTCAAATTATTTGTATTTCCTCTATCTTTTCTAAAGATCAATTGTTGTAAGCATTTTCAACCCAAATTCAATCTTTGAGGAAGGGGTGTTCGGAGGACAAATGCCAATTCTTTCCGTTAGTATGATCATACTTGAAATTCTTTTTATACACGATTGTAGTTTAACATCAACGGGTTGATGACGAAAATTATGCTTCACTAATTAACAAGAATGAGTTTTGATAGTTGTAGAACGCATATGTAGCGTTTTTGCTTGCACAACCAAGACATGGCGAAACTTGTTAAAAGAGTATCTGATAATTCGCTCTGCATACCTATGTTGTATCGACAAACGAGTTTCGTGAGGTAGCGGCTTGTTATTATATGCTTTTCTAAACTACCCTTTCTAAGGGTCGACAGCTTACAAATGTAAACTCAGTATCCATACATACAATGCAGATTGAGTTTACTTTCAAAAATCAGTTATGGCAGAGCACTTGCGTATTCAATGTCACTTACAACACGTTGTGCCGCAGGTTGATTGACTATCAAGGAAACGTCATCATCATCATCATCATCTAATTCTGGTAAGTCAATCATCATCATCTTCCGGTTTATCAGCCAAAACCTGCACAAGGTTCTGGGTAACCCTACTCACCTTGCATTTGTAGAGTTAGCTCTGACCAGTTCAATCACCTGCTGAGTATTACTAACTTCACCATCTGTCAAGAGAAAGATCTGGCGAGGATAACCTTTGATCACGGGTTGCGAGAAGACATCCCTTAGAGGGTCAAGGATCTCTGTTCCACCAAGATTTGCTTCCATGACCTCCCCATAGCCACAAGCATGACTCAGAGTACTGTCGTTATAAAACTCGCTCCTATCAAACAACTTATTAAATGAACTTCCAAAACCAACCACGTTGAAGTAACAGTTCTCTGGAAGACTCTTCAAAAATAAGAGAAGACTTTCTCTTGCACTTTTCATCTTTGATCCGGCCATACTTCCACTTTGATCGACCACAAATATAAACTCACCACGTTCAAGGGTAGCATTCCTGTCAAACTCAGGAAAAAAGTTTAGCATGACAACAGGCTTAGAGAGAAAAGGATTCGGTATGCCTGTGGTAGATTTTGTCACGCCATTCTCTACTAACGTGTGAGGCTGGAATGGTTGTTGACACAACACGTGCACTTCCAAATCGTTGTCATATCGATGATTGTTATCGAGTCGAACAGTTGCTTGTCGATTGTCGTCGGGATTGATATCGACTGTGAGTTGATAATGAGAGGAGGTAATCTTGATTATCGGTGAAGCACAATGTACATTCATTTCAAAGTAGAATGAATATAACTTGCTCATTGAACCAAGACTTGCCATCTTAGAACTTACATTACTACCGCTGGGAGAGTATCTCGGGTTAAGAACTGTCGGCAGCATAAAGACAACCCTTCCCTCCCTCTCTACCTTGAGTGTTGTCACAAAGGTAAGTTTGATTGTTGCTGTCACTCTAGGTGGGAGGTTTCCCACATTGATCTGAAAAACATCAGAGCTCTCGTCGCTTTCTTCCAGGTGGAAAGCACTGAATCCACTGCTTATGGCATCATCGTATGTATTACGAGCTTCTTGCTTGTCTTGAATCTCAGCCACGATAGTTCGTCCATCTATAGTCGCTTGAAAGTCACAAACCGACGCCTCCTCGTCAAGAGGAAATACATACATCACTTCTACAGGATTGTTGCCATCATTTGTAAATTCCATTGCAGCGGTTACCTGAGCTGTAAACCCATGCAGTTTGCTCGATATACTGATACTTTTTATCGGGATACAAGAACTATTTGCTTTGTTAATCAATCCAAAAGACGCCATTGCTTTAGTGTGTGTTTACGCTGTCCGGTCTCGAACCCTAAAGGAGGAGTTTGTTGTGAAATAGAGCTCTTGTCTGCGTCACGCTTCACATGTCAAGTATCTCGTGTTGACATTAGCATTAAAAACACTTGCGAGATCTCTACCAGAACAATCGAACCTTTTGGGCAGTATTGATAACCAAGAAGTAGATGTTTTGCTATAAAATTAGTGCATCTTACAAAAGTTAACAAATAATGAATTCATTTCAGTTCATCATTGATGACGATCCTTATATGAAAATATATATAGCAGAGTTTGGAAGGTTGAAAATACGCGAAATTTTAAATCTGTAAAGCTTGCACCCCTGCTTCGGTCTGTTATTGAGTTTCCCAATATTTTAGGTTACCCTTCGTGCCAACCCGAATTCAACACGAATCAGGCAGTCAAGGTGAAAGGGATAATGCACTTTTGGTCAAATCATGAAATTTGGCAGAAAGAAAGGCATAAGTTCATCGTTCCTCGGAGTTATAAGCGCTATTCCTATAATTAACACTATGGTGGAAACTAGCGGTAAACTAGTACGAGCTGCTCCGGTGTTTCTAAAAAAAGTTGTGTATACACCCTTTTAATAAGTCCCGAGATTTTGTGTTCTCCGCACTTGACGTCAAATTTATTCTTTTGAATTCCTTTTGTATTGTAAACATTTCAAAAGAATAAATTTGACGTCAAGTGCGGAGAACACAAAACCTCGGGACTTATTACTACTTATTTTAATAAATACACTGTAAAAAATTAGGTGAAACAACTTACTGAGGTTCCGGACATAATCCTTCGTCGGAGTAAAGACGTCCGAAACGTCAGTAAGTTATTTCACCTAGTTTTTACGGTATTAAAATTTATCTTTTTACACAACTGTTTTTTAATAAAACTATTTCTGTATCCAAGAAAACTTTCCGTTTGGAAGACTATAGTAAATAGAACTAAAAAACTTTTGTATTTCGGTTTTATCCAGTAGTTGAAATAGCAAACCTAAAGAAGGCATCTCCCGTTTATCAAAAAGAAGCGCTACGTTTTTCGTGGTTATATTTGCGATACATGTCATACATCTGTTAATGTGAGAATAGCACAATCGTCAGAAGCTGATACAATTCATTTCATAGAAATATGGCTATAATGGCCACATACAGATTTAGAGGTTTTAGAACAACTACAGGGATGGACTCCAGGAATGAAAGATCGGCGACGTCAAGATCGGCGCTATGGAAGAAGGAAAGACAGAAAGGGATGATTCCCGACTAGTTTCCAAATAGGAAGAGTTGCATAGGTTAGTTGCACGGTGAGATCCTTTTCAGCAGTTGCATCTTCTATGGTTGTACCTATACCGTGTGCAGCGGGGTTTATACTGCCGCCTGCTTCCAACTTCAATAGTATTACACTAAACGGCCGAGAAGGTAATCTAAAACGGATGGAGCTTGCACGACAGAAAGGAGCTATTCTAACTTATTATATCAACGAAAATTCCGATCACCGTTCTTTACGAAAACCTTTTTTGACAAAGCAGAAAATTGAAATCCAAACAAATCAAAAGAAAATAGAGCGACTTTATAGAGGAAGACTTGCGCAACTCATATTTTCACAAGATCCTATTCAAACATCGCATAAAACCCATTAGTTTCGTTCAAGATTACCATCCCCAGTTTTTGTTCTTGCATTTTAACCCTATTCAGACTGGGCTTTTTTTTTTCAATCTGTGAC